CAGAGCAAGCAGATTAATAGCTTTTTTCAATGACAAAGGTTCTAACAATACCCTGTGCCCCACCTCCTAACAATTTCGCACTGGGGGAAGGAGTGTAGAAAAAGGAAGAAACAACGATTTATAAATATATGGCAAACTTTTAAATTAATAAAAAAGGGGAAATAAAACTCCTCTTGACTATTATTAGCAGGTACAAAACTAATAATGGTGCTATTAAACTTGTATCTAGCAGGTCATATCGATTCTGGGCATGGCAATCTATTCTTGTGTATTGGCTGAGTAACTGAGATGTGCAAGTCCGTGGCAAGGTGAGTCATATTAAAATAACACCTATAGTTTTGTTAATGCTTTTGTAAATGTAAGAGATTTGTTTTTTCACTGCTCCAGTTACTTTATGGGGTTAAAATGACAACATGTATGCTGCCAAGATTTTTTTAGACATGTATGAGTTTAGAAAATAGGATATAGGCAATAATATCTTAGCAAGAGAGTTTTAGAGTTAATTTAAAAAGCTGCAAATTAAGAAACAACAACATCAGAAAGGATTAACAGCATTGTACCTAACTGAAGGCATTCCAAAATTGCTCCGTTTTCTAGAAAATGTCTGAAAATTAGTTGAAATATCTCACTTGATTTTATGTTCGCTAATTTAATTATATTTCCAAAGCAAGGTTAACATATTTTCATGAAGACAGAAGAAATAGATGAAACAAAAAATGGGAGGGGGGAGGAGAGAAGGAAAGAAGGAGAAGATAAGAGGGAGAAAAAACAGGGAGAGAATAATAGGATCCCTTAATATACACGTACCTAACAATAAATACATAAAAAGTGACTGTTTTTATACGCATATTGAATAATATACTTAATATTTGATTAATTATCATGCCAAACATTCCATTACCTGGTACAATTTCTATCTCAAAACAATATGTCTCCTTTCATGGTTATTGAAAAAGAAATGAATCTATGCAGCTATCTATTTAAAGTTTGCATTTTAAAAAGTAATAAAGTTTTGGAAATTAAGTCACCTCATTTGTTTATATTAATGCCATGTGGGGGAAATTTTTAGGCAAGGCCCCAAAGGGACTGGGCATATTGCATGCTCCCCAGCCTGCTGTACTTCTGATCTAACTTGTCCCCTTTTTGGGGACAAGCTTGCCTTGTGAGGTTGTATACTAATTTGCCTCTATTCTACACAGGACTAAACACATTGAGCATCTGCCCTGTGACTATACTGTGCCGGGTGTTGGGGCTTCAACCAGGAGCACAGACACCATGGACATGGTGCTTGCCGTTTACAGTTGAGTACTGGTCAGGACAAGAGGACCATCTGTAGACAGGTATGCCCTGGAGCAGGGATGTGGGATAACAAATTGCATCGTGTGCGATTAGGGGGAAAATATTTAACTATTGGGATATTTGTAGTAAACTTCTTTATCCTTTTTCCAAATACTCAAGATGGCAGTAACATTTCCACCTTGACTAACAGAGTGTTTTATGTCTTAACAACCTGAACCCATGAGTGACATTTTAGGATTATTTCAGAAATTTAGTCAGAAGTTCAGTAATAGTAAAAAACAAAAAAATGCGTGCATAACTGGTGCTTATTACTTGTTTTATATTCTTTGAGTGTGCACAGTTTTTCACTGAGGGTAATGCAATATACCTAGGTAAAAATGTCCTTTGCATTTTACACCTTGGTTTATTTATTTATTTTTCATCCCCCAACAGATAAGTTATATTGTTGATCACACTGTACAGAATAAAAGAGGAAGTAAATTTTGGCATTTAAGAGCCTAACGGAGCATGAATCTTCTCAGTTACTTTTCAATGTCTGCCACTGAGGTTGAGTCTAGAAGTTATCACCACAGCTGACTCAAAAAGGCTCTAAAAACAGGGCTGCAAATATAACTTTGGTTATAAAATGAATGCCACAGGTAGAAAAATTAGTTGGAAAGAAAAAAGATTGGAAAATATTTGTCACTGTGAGCTTCAACAGAATTTGACCGATTCTCAGGAAGACTGGGGAAATCCACCACTAATCATCAAAACTTTACCCAACTTTCTAGAAACATCGATAGTGAGATTGTGCTTGTGTTTTCTTCCAAATTTCAAAGAATATAACACCTACCAGAAGGTAGATTCTCAGAGGGTGCTCAAGCAGTTTTAGATTGACTCAGTGAAATATGACATAAACAAATAGCTCATGATTTCTTTTAGAGATTGAACATGTATTCCTGATGATCACAGGTAGGTAACCTGTGGTTGTTTCATTCTGTTTAATTTGAATCTTATTTAAACAATGAAATGGTTTTCCATGGGATTTTAATTGGTAACCAGGAGAAAAATGAGTAAAGCATATTGTCATTTCAAGATATATATATGTATGTATATATATAGTGTATTTATATGTATATATTTATATATACATATATTCAGGCTAGTGAAATAGCTCTATTCTTGTATAGTGAAATATGCCCCAGTTAACACCCATATAATAGCATATCTTCAGATTGAAGAGATGGCCCTAAGAGATTTGAGTCTTTTTTACACCCTCCCCAGCAAGGAGCAGAAGCATTAAGGGACCACTGGACAAGGCTAATAGGGGCTTTCAGCGAATAGAGCAGAGAGTGAGCAGAATGATAGATAACATGTGGGGTCAAATGCTGAAACTCTAATAACACACAGCCTTATGTGAAATTTATCTGGCTCACAAAAAAATGAGCATTCCTATTTGAGTATCTTGTGCTGTCTACAGGACAATTTTCTTTCAAAGATATTTATTTTTAAATAGGAAATGTTACAATAAGACATGAAAAAATTGTCTAGCTGTTTATGGCAAAAATCTTAATAATCAAAAAAATTTTGACGATAACATTTGAAGATAACATTTTGAAGATAACAGTGGAAAATTTTGCATACACAAAGAATATAAAACAATAACGACCACTTATGCATGCACTTTTTTTTTTGCTATTACTGGACTTCTGATTAATTTCTAAAATAATCCTAAAATGTCACTCATGGGTTCAAGTTGTTAAGACATAAAACACTCTGTTAGTCAAGGTGGAAATGGTGCTGCCATCTTGAATATTTGGAAAATGAATAAAGAAATTTACTACAAATATCCCAATAGTTAAATATTTTCCCCCTAATCGCACATGATGCAATTTGAATAGGAAAAAAAAATTATATTTTCAGAAATTATAAGTCAGAAACATGACAAATCTAGGGGAGAGTGCTTGTTTATGTAAAATATTCAATTATCTCCCCACTGAGATATTCAACAGTTTCATTATTTACTTCAACAGTTTAATTGCAAAGAATAAATAGATGATTATTATTTTTACAACTATGGTTATAACATAGTTCTTAGTTTGCCAGCCAGTAAAAGTGTCTAGGGAATATAAATTGCATTTTTTCCTGACCTAGAAGTCCCATTATTGCAAATTAACAGAAAGTCAGAGCATATTTGATATCATTTCAGGAAATACTGACATTTCAAGACATAACCTTCATAACTTGAAGAAGAAGCTGTCTTTGTTGTTGTTAAAGATTTTTATCTTTGCTTCTAAGGCTTAGTAGATTACTAGTATTTTCCTTTAATTAATTAAAATTTCCACTTCTTGAAATTCTTAAAAAATACTAGAGTGCCTGCTTTTGTTGTCACCATCATTGCTTTTTTTGTAAAAGCTTTTTTTCCCTACATAATGTGAAATCATGTGAGAAAAAACAAAGTTATTATTTATCAAAAGTGGCATAATTCTGATTAGCAATGCTTAAGTTCATTTGAAAAAGGAATTAAATAGTTTATATGCTGTTTCTTTCCGTTGTGACATTTCACCAATTTCATTAGTAAATTCGGCTGTATAGTAGTAAAAGTTAAGAAGTAATGATGAAGTTAAGAGGGTTTTGTGTTATTTCCTGAAGGTATTCATTTAGCTAAGGTCTCTCTTGTGGTTCTATTGGAATTATATTTAGAAAATACCAAGCCAAATAAATGTTTACTCTGAAAATTATAAGTCATTGTAATTAGAACCATGGAGTTGATGGAGCACAGGTTTTGCTGTCAGAAGACTCAAGATTGAGTCCAAGTTCCATCATTTACTAGCTGTTTGATCTTTAGCAAATTGTTTCACCTCTCAGACTCCTTTCCTTCATGAATAGGAATAATTGTCCATGGAGGGAATTTCCATCATGGATAATAACCATATATGCCTGGGTCTGAATTACTGGGGGGAGCACATGGAGAGAGAGCAGAAAGAACTGCCTTGGGGAAGTGAGGACAACACACCAAAGGTAGAAGTCATGAGTGTTATTTGTCCTTTAAAGTTTAGTTCATATGAAATATGCCTTTCAAAATTTGCAGAGAAAAAATTCAAGATTTCTCATCTATAATTCCCATCAAGAGATCCTCAATTCTCTTCTCTGATGTGTTGAACAAGATGGTGAGGTTTTTCTACTTGTTCACACAGGGTTATTATAATATTTCCTACTCCAGATTTCTTCTCATTGCCCCATTGTTTCAAACAGGTCGAAATATTGAATTTATCTTCTCCAGGTCTGTAACTATGATTTTTCAATTCTTTTGTGACCTGCTTTCATTTGGGTTCATAACATACACACACACTCACACTCGGCCTCTCCAAAGCTCAAGGTACCACAAATTTGTTCTGGGTTTATGACACCAAATCTCTCTTCCTCACATTACAAATTGCTTTAGGTTGAATTTTCTTGTCATATTGGTTCATATTCAAATACTAATTAATAAAAATGGTAATGTTGTTTATTTCTTTCATTAACTGTACCAAAACCGTTACTGTTCAAAGATCTGCTCTGATCTCCCGCTGAATAGCAATCTTCTCCTACTTGTTTTCTTCTCTTCCATCTCGGCACATGTTGTGGATTCCACAAGGAATGCCTTTCCTCCTCTGTGTGTGTCAATACCTCTAGTTCATTCTGATGACATAGATTTTCATCTCTCTTGTTTTCTGTAGAATATGATTATCACAGCACCTGCATTATTAATTCTTTTGGGGACTTCAGTGGTATTGCAAGCAGACTTACGTCCTGATGAAAAATGTAAGGACCTTCTATTCAATTCAATTTATTTCTTTGTGTTTCTTTCTTTTTTTTTAAAGTACGTTATAAAAAGGATAGCATTATTTTCTCTTAAATAAGCACTTAATTAGAAAATTGTATTTTTTATAAAAGAGAATATCCTTTTCAGAATATAAACTATTTAAACATGCTATTACTATAAGAAAGCATTGCTAGCTGAAATGCAAATGTCACACTGCAGTGAGAAATCAAATTCCACATATGGGTTCCTGATCACTATGGTATAAAGTTGGTGCTGGTGGCTACATTTGGGATATGATCCCATACAAGGGTATGGTTAGAGGCCCTCAAAACCAATCATTAAGAAGCTTCCACTATGTTTTGATGTGAAACTTGTTGATCTATGGATTTGGTGTGATGACAGTTCAAGAAAGAAAACAGTCCTGTGGCCCTAATCTAGCACTGTCAAGAGAACTTTCAATGGTAATGACAATGTTCTGTCTTTGTACTGTCCAGTGCTGTAGCCACAAGTCATATGTGATTATTGAGCTCTTGTAATATGAATAATGCAACTAAAGTAATGAACGTTTTATTTTACTTAAATTTAAACTTCAACAGCCACAAGTGGCCAGTGGTTATCATAATGGACAATGCAATATAGACAGAGCCCTAGAAATCCTTGTGTGTCAAGTGTGGATGCAGAGTCATGGAAGGCTGTCAAGGTCAATAGATAAATCCTGGCAAGTTAGGAAATAAATAAAGTTTTTCATAATTGTGTGTACAATATTGCCCAAATTTTGGTAAAAAAAAATTTAAAAGGCTTGTGAATATGTGCCTCCTACCAAAATATAGTGACTATATCTCTATATGTTAATGCCATTCTCAGTAGTAGGATTGCGGAAATTTTTTATTTTCTTCTTTTTTGCTTATCTGTGCTTTCCAAAATTTCAACAATGAAAAGGTATTGATTTTGTAGTTAAATGAAAACTTTTATTTTGAAAGCAAATTTAGAGTGGGTCATAAAGGGAGGAAAAAACCCTTTTTATAAATACCTATTTAAGTAGTTTTGCTCACAAATATATTTTACTCTGACTCATGATAAGAGGTAATACATTTTCACATGATGTGCAATTACACATACAAATATATAAGTACTTTTATGTAATGGAAACAAGAGAATCATAAAGCAGCTGTTATGTTTGATGCATGCTGGCATTTTCTATTCTAGTTTTCTTCCGTGTCATTAAAAACAATTCTGGTCACAAACCAATACTGTTATCATTGCCCATTAATAGATAAAGATCCTAGACTTGATAACTATGCTTTTATTTATTTTTTATTTTTTTATTTTTTGAGTTGGAGTCTCACTCTGTCGCCCAGACT